TCTAGACTTGAGCTGAACATTCAACCAGAAAACTATTGTTGTGCCTAAATGACTGCCTGTATCACAATAAAGCCTTATTCATAGACCAGTGTTTAAGATTTGACCTAGGTACCTGTACGTTGATTGATATTTTGATAAGAATGGTATTAAACTGTGAGTAAATAAACAATGCAATGAGCTGATATTTTGAGCATGCAGTATACTACGAGGTTAACAAGGTGCTCTCCTGCTGCTTGTTATGACAGCTTTCACCACACTAAATCATGTTCACACGCACAAACAAATAATTTATTTTAAGATCTAAAGTTTAAGAGAGTGAGTACTCAATTGGACGACATTTCATTGTTACATACCTAGGCTCAGATCAAGGACCACATTTTGATTTCAGAGGTGGGGGGGACACAAGTATTTTTTTTTTCTGGCCTTTTGATGGCTTTATTTATAGAGACAGCTGTAGGGAGACAGTGATGGTGGGTGGAGAGAGGGGGGATGACACGCAGCAAAGGGCAGCAGGTCGGATTCGAACCTGAAACCCGGAATCTCTCTCTCTCTCTCTCTCTCTCTCTCTCTCTCTTCTCAATTCAATTTCAATTCAAATGGCTTTATTGGCATGACGTAACACTGTACATATTGCCAAAGCAAGCGTTTGGAATTAAAAATAATAATAATAACAATAAAGGAAAACAATATTTACAATAAATTAATAATAATCAATAATCTATACTGTTGGTAATACTGTAACTATGATTGACTCAATCACAATCACAGTCACAATCAATCAATCTCAGTCAATTAGTAATTAATTACAATCAATTAAAACAGTAGTAAAGTAACAGACTACAGTTAACAGTAATAAAAATAATTAAATATAATATATATAATATTAAAATATATTAAAATTAAAATGTGTGTGTGTGTGTGTGTGTATTAAAAAACAACAAAAACAACGACAACTAAAACAATCAATTATTTTATACATGTATCTGAGTTTCCACTGGTCGTCCTCAGTTCGTGGCATGAGGAGACATATTTTGCTGCAATAACTCTCTCTCTCTCTCTCTCTCTCTCTCTCTCTCTCTCACCTCAATTACGGACTGAGCTAAGCGGCGGACGCCCCTCTACACACAATAGTAGTTCTTCTAGTTTTCTATTGCTACTTTACGTTTATTGTTCCATTTTTTGGTTTGACTGCTTGTAAAGCATGTAAATATAAATGTAAATATAGAATAAACATTCTGGACACACACGCACATACGCACATGGACACCGATTCAAACGTGAATGTAAATGAAGCCTCTGATATTACCTGGGCAACTCCAGCAGACCGGTGTGCAAGCAAGATGGAGTGACAGCGGGGAAGGCCAATCACACAAGAAACGGCAGAGGCAATCGAGGAGCTTATGGGCGGTCTAAACTCAGGGAAACAGGCTTCAGCTGGAGCGGCCGTTTTCCTCTTGGTCCTAGTGCTTGACGAGTCTCTGCTTACTATAGCATAACATTGTTTTTGGACGGTAAAAACTGCAGGGGACCGAAACGGCCCAAGATCGGATTTTTTTTTTTGCGTGAGAAATCTGATGTGGGGCGTGAGTGCGTGTGAAAACAGGCAAAACCGTGTGTGACACGTCGAAGTTTAATACCATTCTAATCAAAATATCAATCAACCTACAGGTACCTAGGTCAAATCTTAAACACTGGTCTATGAATAAGGCTTTATTGTGATACAGGCAGTCATTTAGGCACAACAATAGTTTTCTGGTTGAATGTTCAGCTCAAGTCTAGAAGGCCCTACAAGTCATGATGCCGAACATGAATCAGAATAATAGGTATTGCACATCTTTAGCAGACCACCCAAAAATGCACTAGAATGCAGGAAATCACATCTACTTAATCCAAAATTTCCTGGGGGTGGACCTTCAGCTATGTCTGCTTCTCAGAATGTAACCAATATTATCCATCTCCAGTAGGCTGCCCCTATCAGCGGCTTTGGGCCTCCCCACAAACCCCCAGAATGCAGGGTACAACATGGGTACAACATCAAATGAATTCCAATTCTCTGATATCTGAGCCAACAACTTGTGTGGCTGCGTGCGCGGCATAATTTTGGTCACCCCCAAAAAATATCACTCCAAGGTTTTTTGAAAGGTTGGCAGGTATGCACTGAGCCAATATTCCCAATCTTTCACAGGAGCACCTCAGTGGATGGCTGTCATGTGTTTTTTAAGGACAAAAGTTTGAAGAGGCACGGAGCATTCACATTGCTGTCACACTGAGTTTATAGTACGCTGTGAAAAAAAATCAATTCAAATTCTCTGCTTTCTTTATGCAAATTGTATTTTGAATTGAAAGCGTGGGGTGCCGCATGTATTTGGAACTGTCCTTCAACACAAGTAAATTCTATTTACCTGCGTCAGGAACATAAAGGGACATAAATTATTATATAGTAAATGGACCTGTACTTGTATAGCGCCTCTCTAGTCTTCCGACCACTCAAAGCACTTTTACACTATGTACCACATTCACCCTTTCAATCAGTCCATTGAACAGAAACTAATCATTCATACACACACCGATGCAATTCAGGGTTCAGGATCTTGCTTAAGGATACTTTGATATGTGGTGGGAGGAGCCAGGGATCGATCCAACAACCGTCCGATTAGTGGACAACCCGCTCTGCCTCTGAGCCATAGCCACCCGTAGTCAAGCTAAATCAGGCCTTTAATTTTTACCATGAATATAACATGACCATTCAGTGTGGTGCAAAATGTATCTCAATAATGATTTTCAAATCAAGTATTAAATATTTCATACTTCATACTTTGTTTGATTCTAATTGTTCTCGCTGAAGTCATGGGCCTATATTATTGAATCAGCAGAGCCTAATTTGGCTTCCTGTTTTTTGGTAACAATATAAATATCAAAGCAAGATGAATATGTAAAAGGAAGAATGGGGCATCTTTGATGTTAGACCAGGGAAGAAAATATAGTAAAATATATATAAGTCACATGTAGTTTTAAAAAGACAGTAGAGTTTGTCATATAATCTGGTCTGTGACGATACACTGATGCACAAATATGCAAGTTGTTGAGGTGATTATGGGAACACTGGTTTACATTTGTGGTTTTATAGTACAGTATTTTACAGAATTGTGTTGAAAGCCTGTATTGTATATGGTATTATTAAATGGCAGACATGTTTTGCTACAACAAAGTTTCTAAAAATGAATATGATTTACAGTATCAACGTGGATACCTCTCAAAGGTGAAACTGCAGCAATCTCTGAGTACCCGATAGTAGATTATCAATTTGCTGGTACTGAAACAAGTTCAAGAGAAAACAGTCCTATAGGCCGTCCGTGGATCGTTCAACATAGTATAAAGAGCGACAAAGTCTGCATAGGAAGGAGATTGAGGAAATGGCTGTCTCAAACAAACCCAGACTTTCACCCAGAATACCGCTGTTAACCAAAAGTCAACACTGAGTTATTTTGATTAACAAAACATACTAAACTTACGTCACATATGTAATGTAGGCTTTTAATTTCACAGAGGACACTAACATACTTATTTTACCCAAACCATGATCCTTTCCTAAACCTAACCAATTCGTTTTGTTGCCTAAACCTAAACCAAACTGCGACCGTTCACAATGTGACCACGAAGGTCCAGAACAAAGGTTCTGTTTATCAAAGATCCAGTATGCCCTTTGGTGGTACTCTCTAATGGTCATGTCATTTTGTGAGACACTGGCAATCGACATACTCAGAGGTTTAGATATGAGGACGTGTTGGTGTATAGAGACACATATTCACACAGCCAGCATGCACAGGTCAATGGTGTCTGTAATTCCTGTTTACCCATGAGCTTGAACTCCAGACTGTTTTCTGCTAATAGTCTTGCACAGAACAACACATATTACTCCCCTGCTGTCCCTCTCCAACCTCTCTCTCTTTCTGTGCCCTCTGTTCTAGCCCTTAAACTTTGAGGACATCTCCATCACACACAATCATGAATCACATTTACGAGCAGATCTAGAAGCTTTGCTGCACTCATAAACACACCACCTGACCCAATCCCCACCCATAAAGGCTGCTATCACACAGTTAATGTCTATTGGAAGGGTTGTTGCACAGCATACAGTGTACAGCATGTGAGTATACACAGGAATGGAATGAACTATTCGGATGGATTTGAGGAAAGTTGTCTGAACAGAAATCAGGATCTTGTCAAGTCTTGTCCAGAGGCTGCACTCAGTCTTGTATAATACAATAGGATGCAAGAGCAAAAACCAAGAAGAAAAAACCCTGTTTCCAGAAATGTAAAATATAACACAATCAGTACTAATTAGGTATTTTATTATAAATATTAATCATTGAGCAGAAAGGTGTATTTTTAAACAATATTTTATGATGTAAATATTATAGAATTTGGTCACAAACTAGATTGTTTTTTTAAATCATATCACTGTGATAAAAAGACAAGCTGATATAATGAATTATTCATTATGCTCTAGCTTTATTCCTGGAAGTCATATATGACCTTTTCAATGAAAAGGAGCAACAACTTAAAAGTGCAGACAAGTGACAGACCAGAAAGAAAATTTAGACAGGAAACGTTATATGCGTATTGTTGATTGACCCTACAGGTTTTGACCATTTTAGATATCACTTTAACATGCAATTCATCAACATTATATTACATATTAGTGGGAAGACACACAAAGCTCATCAGATCAATGAAACATTTTTGACATTTTTGTAAGCCATAAATGCATATAATTGGTTCACTCTTTACTTTAAAGGTCATTCCTTCACATGTCTGAAAGGTCTCAACATCATCGATACAAATGGCCTGTCATTATATTGATGTGCATAAAGCTACATTGTACTGTAGTTGAAATAACACTCATGTGGTTAGAAAAAGCTGCAGCTACTACATGAACATTTAGACATTAGGGAGCATTGTGCTTTGCCATCTGGGGCCTCATGATGCATCAATCTCACCATAATCTACGGGCTGTTACAGGCTTCAAAAGGATCCAATTGAATAATCTTGATTGTAGTACAGCTGCCTGCTGCAGCTGGCAGGAACAGGACTTTGAGGAATTTGAAACTGGAAAGAAAACCATTATGTCAGTAAGAACATATCTTTCATTCTGTTACTGACATAAAAGACACACAGTGTACTGTAGGTACTACAGAGTGCTGTACTGCTTTTTCTATTCATTTTATAATTCAATTTATACATTTTCTATTTCTCACGTGCGTGTCAGCCATTTGTAAAGCAGTTTTTATTGATGATTTTATGAGATGCTAGACAAATAAAGTGCAGATCTCAAACCCAACCCAAAACCAACCTATACTGCCAGACAAGAGAACTGCTATCTGAATCAAGTAAGAAAGTAAGTAAAGCTTTATTTATATAGCACTTTTTAAAACACACAGTCACAAAGTGCTTCACAAACCAACAAATAAAAATATAAACACACATACACACACACACACACACACACACACACACACACACGGGTATACAGTATATATATGAATATATACAATTATAAGAGGGATGACAGAGATAAGTAAACAAACAAGAAGGTGATCTATAAAAAGGCCTATAGAGGTGGGTTTTAAGGAGCCGTTTAAAACAGTCCAAAGATTCAGCGAATCTGAGTAATTGTGGAAGAGTATTCCACAATGATGTTGGGGCTAAAACAGCAAAGGCACAGTCACCTTTAGTTTTGCAGTCAATGGATAAAAGGCCGAAATTTGAGGAGCAAAGAGGCCGAGGAGTGGAACGAGAAACAAGGAGATCTGAAATGTAACTGGGGGCAAGGTCATGAAGTGCCTTATGTGTAATCAGAAATATCTTATAGTTGATTCTGAATTTACAGGAAGCCAATGGAAGGATGCGAGGACAGGAATAATGTGGGACCGACGGCTGGTTCTGGTTAAAAGTCTGGCAGCTGCATTTTGGACTAACTGTAAAGGATTTAAGGAAGCTTGACTGAGGCACTTATGGAGGGAATTACAGTAATCTAAACGGGAGAAAATAAAGGCGTGAATTAATTGTTCAAGATCTCTGGAGGACAAGAAGCTTCTGATTTTTGCAATATTTCACAGCTACAGAAAACAGGACCGGACAAGTTTTGTAACATGAAGGTCAAATGTCATATACTGATTAAAGATCATACCCAGATTCTTAGCATTGGGTTTGATATTTGTGAGTAATGGTCCAATAAACTGATCAACTGCAGTGACAAAGTTTTCAGGGCCAAATAAAATTATTTTTAGTTTTGTCAGGAGACATCCAGTCTTTGGTGGCAGCTTAGCTTTTTCCAGTTGTGCTCAGCCTTCCTATATTACCTTCTTTGTTGTCTAATCTTAACATGGATCCAAGGATTGGTATTAATAACTGGGACAGCTAACTTGATCATTAATATTTAAGAAGTGAGGAGGGGAATTTGCCAGACTAGAAAAAATGGCTACAAAATGTGGCTGCTGATTGATTATTAAAGATGCGAGTGTGGATTAAATGTTTCTGGGATGATGAAGCAGATACAAAATGTGTATCAAAAGTAATCTATTTGTGGTCAGAGACATAATAATGCATATTCAGGGAATTAAGATCAGTAAAAACCAAGTCAAAGGTGTGCCCACAGTTATGTGTAGGGCCAGAGATGTGCTGCACAAGGTTAAAAGATTTACAAATGTTTAAAAGGTCTGGAGCAAATAGATTTTAAGTTTTGTCATTATGAATGTTAAAGTCCCCAGCTATAATGGCCTTATCAAATTTGATAAGTAACTCACACAATTTGTTGAAAAAAACACTACTGGGGTTGGATTTGGGGGCATGGTAAGTGATTATACAGCATATGGGGTTTTCACACACAATTTTAGAAGTTAAGATTTCAAAACTGTTTAAAGAGCCGAGGCTGAGATGGTTTTTAAACACAACTGCAATACGCCCATCCCGGCCTGTTAGTCTTGTTTTTTTCAAATTAAAAAAATTGTAACTGGGTGGGCATAGCTCTACTAGAGGGGAACACTCCCCAGGCTTCAGCCAGGTTTCAGTAAGAAACAGAAAATCAAGGTTATGGTATGTAATTAGATCATTAAGAATGAAAGATTTATTAGACAGACTGTGCATTCAGAAGAGCACAGGCGACTGGGATAAGGGGTTTAGCTGGACTGGAATTACCACAGTAAACTGAAACCAAATTATGAGGCCTAACAGTACTGCATAGAGTAGTAGAGTAGTTTTGCATGCAATGACAACACAAATTCTTCCAGCTACAGTATGATTAATTTTACATATCAGAAAGTGGTTACAGGTCTTGGAGAGTATTGCTGCATGTGTGAAAAAAGGCCAAGACTTCCTTTCCGTTCATTGTCTGATTAACAACTCGAGATGCAAGAATGAAGTTAATCAGATACGAATAATGTATCCAATGAAAATGGCACTGCGACTGCATTAACCCCACAGCTGATTTTACACATTAAATTATAACAACTAAGCCAAATTGTGAAATATATATATTTTTAAAAATCAGGTTAACAAGAGGCTGCATTTGAAATGTGTCACTTCCACCCTCCAAAACTCTGCAGACTACTGTAAGCCTATGCAGAGTCAAACTCATATTAAGGCATAACCAGTAAACCAATTTATTCACAGATCATAAAATCTCAAGAGAGTGCATGTTATGACAGGACGTGTGACATTCCCCTCCACCACATATCAATGAACTCATAAAATATTTTTATATAAGTTAGTAGTTTTGTAGTTAAATAAGTAGTTTAAGGTACCACTGTGCTGGTATTTGCCTCATCTGCATTGTCCTCATCTGCATTGTCACTGTTTCTGCATGTGATTCATGGATTCAGCAAATTCAGGCTGTTGCTGTTGACCAGCTCAACATCCTTCTGTCCCGTTTAATCAGATTTATGTGAGTCATAATTCTCTCTAATCTCTAAAGGAACAACCATCTCAGGGATCCTTGTTATCTTTTGTTTGGACTGTAAATGGGTAAAATACAATATTTGGATACCTATCCCATGCCTCCTGTAAGCCCGGTGGTGTTTTCAGCAGCTTTGATGCGGGACAAATTTATGTTTGAGGGAGAGTTTATCACTCTGAAACCAGCTCTGAGGAGATCAGAGGCATGTTTTTTTCAGAATCAGGAAGCTAATCTGGCTCAGAGCATACAGGGTAGCTGGCCTACCTTCTTAGCAAATGTAGAGCCATGCTCAAACTTGACGCCAATGTTTGCTAACGCAGAGGATTAGCCTCTTCTGTTTGCTTGCACTTTGAAGTTGCTGATGTGTTATTCCAGCATTACTGGGCCTAAACATATCCTTATTTTGGCATGACTCCCAGATGAGATTCTAGCTTCTAAAGGTGTTTTATGATAGAATGATTAAATGTGGTTCAATCTGCCTTAGTGAAAAAGATGACCCCCTGTGTGATTAACAACACTCAGATAACCACTTCACACTGAAGTGCTTATAGACAGTGCTTTCACTGCCAGAGATTTAAAGTGGGGGTATTCACCTTAATTATAAGTAGGAAATGATTATGGTAATTACAGCGGAAGCATTTCTATGCATTTCATCGCATCATGAGCCATCCATGTCTGACAGAGAAATTATTTTTTATTTTGTAATAAGACTGTACAGATGTTCACATGCTGGGGCTTACAATGCAGCTCTGTTGATTATGCTTTAGTGCTTCACCATGACAAGGTGAGTCTGCATCCCAGTGGTAACTTAACCACAAACAAAAGGGGAAACAACACACAACAACAAGATTTAATTGACATGCTATCAGCTCTGTGAGGCTGTAAAATGTGTTTCTGATCTAGCAGTCAGTGGTGAAAGAAGTACTTAGATATTTTTTACTTAAGTAAATAATAAGTAATACCACACTGCTGAAATACTCTGGAATACAAATGCAAGTCATGCATTTAAATTTTTACTTAAAGGCACCACACGACCAGTGTGTAAGATTTAGTGGCATCTAGCAGTGAGATTGGAACCATGGAAACCCCTTGACTTAACAACGTGCAAAAGAGAAACTACGGTGGCTGTGAAACTTACAGAAAACACAGGTGATTATACACTAATGAAAACATACCTTTGAATATTATATTCCATTTCTACCAATAGATCCTAAATGTTACATATTTTCCATCACTGGTAGTGGTCATGGTGGAGTAAGTGAGAAAGGTCAACACGTTCAGTCACTTTTGAGATCTTATGACATTATATGTAGTGTTGGGTTAGTAAAGATTGGGGAAATATATAAGAAATCTTAAACATTTAGGGATGAATTGTTGTGAACTGTAATGTGTATTGTCATTTATATTCGGTTGAAACATCACCAAAATAGTCAAACCAAAATATCACCAAGTATAGTTGAGGCTGATTGGAATGTCAAATAAATTTGCAGGTATTTGGTCATAAAACAATGGGTTTGACAAGTTAAAATCTCAATCTGATGATGATGTTATTACAGGGATTGCTAAAGTTCACGTATGTCTCTACCAATAACATGGTAATCCATCCCATAGTTGTCAAGATGTTTCAATAAAAATAAAAAATGTCAACCCCAACCCCTAGTGCCACCAGCAGTAAGGTTTGGGATGACATGCCATCCCAATAGCCACATTGCTAGCAAAAACATAAACAACGCTGTTCTGTACAACACAGCTATAACACACTATAACAATGCTACAGTAACACTGTAACACTGCAGACACGGTCTGTCCAAGAGGAAATAACATGTCAATGTTCTTAACGTAGCAATACAACCTTTCGATTTTCAGTGACAACCTCACACTTATGAAACCCTGTCTAGAAAAGGAAGGAAACCTGTGTCCTTTAACCTTCTATTGTTAAGGCTGATTTACTGTTTGTGTAACCAGGAGGGTGCCATTCCTCTTCATCCTCTTCATGTTCCCTCAAATTATTATTTATTTTTTTACTTATAATTGAAACTGACATCTCATTTGATGGTGCCCTTGATACATAACATACTTGCATTAATTTACTTAACAGTAATAATAATAATGATAATAATAATAATAATAATAATAATAATACCATATCTTAATCCATTCTCTAAATAATTATCGACCAGTCTCCTTAACTTCCATTCTTTTGTACTAGACACTTCTTAGAAACTACTACAAAGTGACTTAGCAGCTTTCGATCCACATATTTATACTACTGCTTGCTTTTTTTTAACCTTTTCAGTATTCTTTCAGGGCCTGTGATTTTACTGAAACTGCACTTTCTATAGTGGCAAATGATGCTCACTGTCAAGCAGCTGCTTGACACAGACAGCAATGAAGTAACAGTAGCCCCAACTGCTGTCAACATCAGTCTTTTAAATCCAAACTCAAAACTCATCTTTTCACCTTAACTTTCAATTATCCACTGGGTATGTCACAGCCTCAATACATCTATCAAGCTTAGTATTTGTAGTCCATGCTCGTCCTGCCAAAGACAATACTGTAAACTTTCTAAAAGCAACTGTATCCCTACAACCCTCTGGTTGTTTGTGTCCCACAAGTGTGCTTATCTCTTTCTTTCTCCCTAGTTTCGCCACCTTATCCTCTCTTTTCACTCAGACATCACTGTGCTGGACCATTGGCCATTCTGTACACACAACATCTACTGCATGTCTGCTCATCCTGGGATAGAGATCCCTTCTCTGTTGTTTTTGCTGAGGTTTCATCAATTTTTTTCTTCTTTAAAGGGCTTTTTGGGGGAGTATGTCATTATTCTAATCAAGGGTCTAACCAAAGAGGGAGTTGTATCCTGTACAGATTGTAAAGCCCCTTGAGGCAAATTTGGGATTGATGATACTGAGCTTTATAAATAAATCTGTCTTGACTTGTCTACAATTAGCGAGTACTCAGCAACCTTATTGGTGTTCTCATCTCTCTATGGCTGCTCAGCTTAGGCCCATCCATCTCTGCATTGACTATGTTAAGACATATAGGACTGGCCTCGCTGCCAATGGTATTCATGGACAGTGAGTTCCTAGCCCTCTAGTCTCTCCTGGGCACTCATCTACTGTGATTTAGTGGAGCCGAGAACCATGAATTTCAGTCAGGCAGTTGAAGACAAGAGTAAGTGATTCATGCTTTTGTTTACAGGGTCCTGTAGGGACCATAATCTGGCAGTGATAAGAGAGTGTCTATATAAACATAGAGTATGTGTGTGTGGGAAAGTGCTTGCAAACCTGCATGCTGATTTCTGAGAAATAATTAAATGCATGAAGAAAGGAAGAAAGGACTAAAATTGGGAAAGCAGGATGTACCTATGTGTATATTTGGATTTTTGCAACAGTGAGAAAATAAAGTATTCACAGGGGAGAAAATCATCCCAGATGGGTTCAAGATGTTTTTGTTATTTCACAGGAGTGCTCATCTCCACAAGTCATGTTCTGTGGGGTAAGACAGAATGGTGCTGTGTTAAGCAGCGGGAAGTTGGGGACCAAACCCCAAATGGAAACTACCATTTTTACATTCACCTGCAGGATACTATCTACAATCTCCTTTGTAAATGAACCGGTGAAAATAAGAGTTCTTAATAATATTCCTCCATCAACATAACTTTGATAGACTGGCCATTCATCACAGAAAGTACGCCATAATGATATGAGTCTAAATATCATCCAACAAAGGATTGCTACTAAGAGAGTGCCCGATCAGATCATTAGCCTCCATTGATGTCCCCTTTAAAGGCATTACCCTTCATAAATGATAGCCCTGTCCATTAGTGATAGTGCATAAAATGAGCTGTTTTACTGCTGACGAAAATGGCCCCCTATCAATGCTCCCACACCACTATGACCCTGAGTCTGAGGATCATTCCCCCAGTGGGAGTGAGGCTAAGAAAGTGTCATCCATTATCTTTGCCTTATAGGTCACCAACACGAAAAAACTCCAGGACAAACATCAATAATATGATCCTGCCACAACAAGTCCTGCTGATTTAAAGTGTTAAGTGGTGTCCTTGTTGGAGATGAGAAGGGCTTCCACCAAAGGGCGGGTGGTTGAAGCGGTGGGGGTGTGGAGAGTATTAAGGACCCAAACAGGCGAAAGGGAAACCTTTAAATGCTCCCTTGCATCCCCCTCCATCCAACACACATACACACGTGTGTATGCACGTGTCTCTACTCTGCATTTAAAGTGGTCAGCTGCCATTGTTCTAGGAGCCTCATTGTGGAAAAAGAGGTGTGGGGTTTCCATTCACTATAGTTACATCAAAGAAGGGAGCCTTACATCCTTCAATTGAGGGAAATATTTGACCACTTTGACAAATGCCAGAAGTATATGCACTCCTTAATTTACACTCATTTCAAACATCAAAGCATGCCTGAAAATGAATCTAATGGTTATGTTCCCCAATTACTTTTAAATTTTTTAATCTTGGTGATAGTCAAAATCAATAGCATGAGAAGAGAGATTGCCAAAGCCTGTCCGGTCAAATCAGTCACCTTAAATTACTAATGTCTTAGTAAATGCCAGAAAGTAAAGCATGCCATCTCAAACAAAGAATACAGGGTTAAATATCATTAGGTTATTGACCCATATCTGTTTTTCTGTGTAAAAGAAAGTCCAGTATTCCTCTGTTAGTTCTTTCCAATCATATACCTTTGAAGTGGCTATAATCAATATTTTTACATTAACAATAGAAGGTAGCGATGAAGTCAGAGAGATTCATCACCTTACCCTGCAGTTCCCCTTAACTCCCTAAGAAGCTATAGCATATTTTGTGTGTAGGAGTCATTGGCATAGCTGTGAAGTTGCAGATTGCAAGAAAATGGCTCAGTCTTGGGTAACAAAAACACAGTGATTCTTATTTTCAGGTGATTATACACTAATGAAAATATATCTGTGAATATTGTATTATATATATTTCTGCCAATAGACCATCATAAAGGTTACACACTGGATGTTAAACTAATTGTTTTGGTTCACTTTTACCACTCTCATACTGTCTTTGTTGGCCACAGCAGACAGCTGTTTTCAATGAAAACTAAAAATCACTCATCATGTTGTTTATATTTGAGAGGAAGGAGTGAGGAAATTACTAAGTTGGCACATTCCAAGTTTACAGCACTGCTTATTATCTGGTATGGAAAGTTTGCTACGGTAGATTCCTATTTTGTAAAAATATTGTTGCCAGAGAGAGCTTCCAGCACCTTCTTACTATAAAACTTCTCTTGTTGATTACCCTTTAGAGAAAATTGGACCAAGCTTGGACCAAATACAACTTTAAGATTATACTTATATAAAGCTGGAAAGTGTGCCATGCTGAAGGAGTCGATTTAGGACAAGTGGGCTATATTACGTTGGTGTCAAGGGAGTAGCTCCATGGCCATATGAGCCAAAACAAACTCATCAGAAATGTCATTTTAATCCACTTGAGAACATTCTCTCACAGGGCTTCAGGGCTTTGAAGGCTTTCTAATTACAAATGTAATTTTCCTCTTACCTTTTCCCTTTTCTGTCTGATGGCTGTGGAATGATATCTTGCAATGCGCATATCTGTCCTGGACTGTTTGTTATCTGGCACTCACTGCTCAACCACATACATCTGCAACATCAGTGAAATGGAATGCTGAGTCACTTCCTTCCATGAGTATTGTTTCTGTCTTTGCGACTTCCTTTTTTAAAATCACCTGTGTCAAGTACTGCTGTTTCTCCCTTCCTTCCTTGACATCTATTGAATGTTTGTAGCTTGCTGCAACTGACCTTTCCTTGACCAGTGGTCTGCCTCTGTACCTGGTAAGATAGGACATTTGTTAAGTCCTTTATATTTCCTAGAAAGTGAAAGAGCAGTTTTGGAATTAAATTTTGTGGTGATTGAAATATATACTCCAGTGAGTCCTAGTGGATGAAACCCAATGACAGTATGATGAAAACAGAAAATAAAAAGTGAAAAAAAACATTCCTTTCACTTAAAAATATACTGATCAAATGCTTGTCTAATCTTTGCCTTTTTTTTTTTATATTTGTTATAACCCACAAAATGAGCAAGTGAGGATGGGCCACAAGAAGACTTTGTCTCAAGGATCTGTTAGGAACCACTGCTGTCATAGACCTAATTAGACCCTCGGATTTATTCCACAACATAAAAGCAGTCACTCTGCCACATCTAGCAGAAATACTGCAGATCACTGTCTGTGTGTGCATGCCACTCACACACCAAAGGTTAAAATCAATGTGAAATCTCTCCAGCAAAGACAAAATCAGAACCCTCGCAGACTGACAAAATAAAGTGGAATTCCCTGCAGAGCAACAGCAGAGTAGTCGGACAGACTGAGGGCATGATAATGAAGAGAATTGTGATTTGAAATCACTTGTAAAGCTGATCAGTATATTTATATTTATCAAGCATATGTGTTACCTAAATTTCGGGTTGAATTTAGAAGAGAGCAGTCGTGGTTACACAGTAGGCTGTAAAGAGTGGGGAGGACTCTTAAAATCCAAGTCATTCTGGATTGAAACCCTGTGTTATTTATTAGACATGCTAATCCTTATCCCGCAGAGGGCTTACCACCTCAGAGGGGTGTTCATTAGGGTTATCTGCACAGTAATTAGCTTCTGTTGCTCAGGATTCTCATGTAGGGGACAGGTGGGTTTTGGAGTAGGCCTGTCTAGCAGTGAGAAACGACAAACAACAATAAAAAAAGAAGAACAAAATGCTAAGAAAGAGATCTATGACTTATTTATATTTCTCTGAGTAGCCTGAGTAAGCGTCTCAACAGACCACCTTTTTGCTCTTGTGTAGTGTTTAAGAAGTGAGGGATGGTGTGGTGTGGTTTCCAGACTTTTGTGTCGTTGATTCCAGCTAATCTTGGCTAGCACAGCAGAACAAAAGTTTCTAATGAAGTCATGCAGGAAGTTTTCCCAATTTGAGACATTGCCTCGTACAGCTCAGAGAACAATAGTAATTAAATTCCCCCTTTCCCCTTGGTGTCTCTTGGCATTTGTCAGCCCAATATGACACAACAGATGAAAGGTTTTAATTTTTATTGGTTATTGATATTTCTATTATGACCTTAAACTTTAATATTTTTCAGCCTGGATCCATTTCCCCATGTTTTCTAAGTGATAATTGGGTCCAAAAAAAATAAAAAATTGTGCAGTATGGAGTGAGAGTGCCGGCAGCCGCGAAAGGTGCTGCAGCATAATCCTTTGGGGCAGTCGTGCACCCTCCGTGTACGTCAACTATAAGTGCTTGCTTTGGCTACTGACAAGCTCAGATTGTTATTGTTATATGATAAGTGTCTGAAAACATCATGGAAAGATAAATAGACAAAGATAGACATTTTTGTTAAAGAGTAAGATCCTTTTTGTTTAACCAGAAACAATCATTATACTCCCTCATTGGGATTTGCTGGTCTACTGCTGCCACAGTTTCCTTGTTATATTGTATTTTGTGACTTTGTTGTTTTTGTCACACAATAACTAAAATAGCTAACCTCGGTGTGAGGTAAAATGGCTGTTTTTGTCAATGGAGTCTGGAATGTGCAATTGCCCAGAAGGATTACGTTGCAGCCTGTTTCACAGCTCTCAGTCAATACAGGACCAATTTCAAAAATTGTTGTCCCCACTAGTCAGAAAAACATGGGGGAAATGGGTCCAAGTAAAAAAAAAAAAAAAACATATACAACATCAGAAATGTTAGAAACTGAGCTGAACAGAATTATTAATGAGTAAATAAAAAAACTGGAGTTGTAAACAAACCGTTGAGACACAATTGGTGCATTTTGTGGCGCATTAGCATGCTTTTCGTATGGGTTGAGACGTATAGAGTGAGATAAAGCCATACTCACCCTACTTTTAATATCCTTTCAGCGCTGAAAGGTTTTGAGATTTTCCATTAGGCCTGCAACCACACCAGCAAGCCACAATGTGCTGCTGTACTATATGGCTGGGAATGTAATGAGCTTTTAATGGGCTTCTGTCAATAACATTTGCCACAATTTGTTGTACCATTATGAAGAGGAGGTCACACTAGTGCTCTACAACAGCTACTCTGAACCATTAGGAACAGCAAGTGTAGATCAACACTGGCTGATGAAGTGTTTTCCCAGTGTGTTATAGTTTGGCATCCACAAAAACAGATTCAGTCTGAAAAGATGTGTTATCCCTTATCTTTATTGTAGTGTTGTCATTAGTTTCTTCTTTTATTTTTGCTTTATTTGGACAGTGACAGCAGAGAGTGACAGAAAAGGCAAAAAGAGAGAGAGAGAGGGGTGACATGCAGCAAAGGGCTCAGGGTTAAACCATGGTAAGAAAAAATTGTGTTTACTCAGAGCCATAGAAATATAAGACTGTTGACTGCAGACAAGTGGCATTAGTTACTGATGTGATATGAATTTTGTTCTCTATAGTCCTGGGTTGTTTTGTAGATATGTAATGAGTGTATACTCACAGATAAATTAATAAATAAAAAATCTATCAGCCACTTTAAATTCACCAGCCACTCAATAGTAAATCATTATTTTTTGTATGAAATACCAGCTGCTTTCATATTTTACCAGCATTTAGCTGCTGGCTAGTGCTAATTTCCCATTCTTAAATTTAGTACTTAAATATTACATATTCAGTATTATTACTTGTATAATTTATATAAAATGTTTAGTATGATCCCATATATATCATGGCAGCATTACACACATTTAGTATGATTCCTTATTGCTGGCTTATTTTAAACATACCTGTGTTATGTTTTCAATGTCACCATGTTCCACTCAGCACTTCTTACCTACAGCCTCACTGATGCTCCATCACACAGCACCCAGTGCTCAGTACACTACAGTAATATTATTAAAAACACCATTACTTAGATAATACAGAGAGAGAATACATGTTTAGTATGATTACTCATTCAGCCTAGCTCAGGGGTCTCAAACCCATATTGGCTTGAGGACTACTGCTACTATTGTCATCTAATGGGAGGGCCACTTCAATGTTAAAGTACTACAAGAAAACACAATGTTCTGAACATATTGATAATTAATACTGATCATTATAATTGTGTTTTCATTGACATGAAACAACTAGAAAAATAAATAAGTAACCGTCTGTCCCAGATTATATATTATTTTGAACATTATGTCGCGAGCCAAAGGGAGGGGATTGGGAGGCTTGAAATGGCCCCACAGCAATTTGGGTTCCCTGGCATTACTGTATCTGATATAGGCTGCAACGGTGCTGCTTGTATAGTATGCTAATTTCCGGGAACTCCTGAGAGACTTCACAATCCGCCATTGCCATTAGAGCAACAGAGATGATGCAACTCTTTCTATCTCTATGCCTCTGGCTCTACCCAGTGAGCTACCAAGTAGCCACCCTTTCTGTTATTTTTTTTAAAGAACTTTGTATGGGAAGAGCGTTGCTTGACTATTAAGATAAGATATTCCTTTATTTGTCCCACAATGGGGAAATTCCAATGTTCAGGAACTTGGCAAGGAGGCAAGGCCTTGTTTACATGTCAGAGTTGTATTTTATTTATTTTTGTACTTATTTCTGGGAGAGGAGACAGGTTGAAATTAATGTAGTGTGTTTGAGTGCAATGTCTGTGATCCATTTGTATGTTGTGTGTTTTGACATGTGAAGGAAAATGTGTGACCTACTCACAATAAAGCAATAAAAAGGGGGAAAGAATAGACAAATCTGAATGCATGAGTGGACAAAGTAACAAATATGACAATAAAACTGCAGGCTGTCTTGAAATTGTTCGATTTTCGGGGGTAAAAGGTTTGTCTGTACACTGAAAATAATTGTTACACATTAGAGATTACTCTCTACAGACACATAAGAGAATGTGTACTATTAGTTGAACATAGTGTTTTATGAGGCTCATGAAAAATAATAGTTTGAGCATTTAGCATACAGTATGTGGCTCCTGACATCACACACTGGGTGACACAACTTCAGGGATTGAGGGAGGACAGACGGAGTTTTACTGCCTTCCTTGTTCATTATTCCTCCCTCCTCTTTACTGCAGCTACTCTGACTTTGTTCTGCTTTCCCCAGTTGCCCGCAGGAGTCCTCCTGGCAAAAATGAAGGGATTTCTATGCTGGTGGAGTTTTCTGTCATCAATCCTGTTTGCCATGCTTCAGTCCCTGCCTGTCTCTCCCTCCCTCTCTCCTTCTATCCATCCATCCATTCTTCAGTCCACCCCTTCACATCTCCCATCTCTCCCTTCCCCAGGTTGGCGAATTGATTGGGTTGAGCTCATGGAAAAAGGCAGCCTCTGGGGACATACATTGAAGCACTGGTTTCCCAGGCCTTCTGTTTTAATGATAAGCCCCAGCAATCACACCTATACACAAAGCTCTCATATATGCTGCATACAAACTGACACACACATACGTACAGCTAGCAGCTCCTAGCAGGAGGATCTGGGTCCATAATTACTTATGCTATGTGGAGTCCCGCTGGCATTTAACAACTGGAGTTACCACCTTGTTTGCCCGCTGAAAGGGAGATTTATGTTGGAATGTCAATCCCGCCTTATGGCAGGAGTGAGCATTATAAATATATGCCTAAATGAGGAAGTTCAAA